TCAATTTATAGGATTAATAAACCCCTTAAAAGAGGAGTAGACTATATTGTTTTGGCCATATTCAGTCTTCTAAATTTTGCTAAAGGCACATTCCCATAAGTGGAGAGAGTCAAAATAATTTTAAATTATAGCTAATTTTCAATGCCATTGTCTCTTCTTTTCCAATGAAAATCATTAATTTAAAAATATTATATAACCATTGTCATAAACAACTATATGCCTTGTCCCATAATGGTATTTATTTTACCACACATTTACAATATTGAAATCAGTTCTAGTTAGTCCACAGGGACTGGATTTATACACCTTCCAAGGTCGGTAAAACGAGGAACCAGACTGTTGGGAGCAATATGCTGACATTTGTTAACTGCTCAGAGAGTCCTCTAAAGCACCATGAAGCTGTATATAAGTCTAAATACTACTGCTATAGTAACCAAGGGTACACTGATGAGACATGCTTATTTACAACCAATTCCTCTTCCATTCCTCACTTAACTGATTGTTCTACTGCTGTTCCCTATTTCCCCCTGGCATTATTCTTCGGTACTAATTCAGTTCATAAAGCCAAATTAATGAGGAAATTCAATTTATTAATAAGATTGGGGGGGGTAAAATGAGTGGAATTATTTTAAACTCATGGTTCATGATCATCCTAGGCTTGGGCATTGGGGTACTGTGACCCATAGAGGGTCCATTTTGCTAAGCAGGTGACGTCTTGACCATGCAATGAGATCAGAGAGACAGATGGGAATTGCAGTTGGCCTGCCTTCCACTGTGTTACCCAATGGCCTTTCTGCATGAACTGGCTGAAGTCATTTTGAGAATGAAGTCGTATGCCTCAGGGTAATTTTCTAAGGGGACACTCATGCTGTTTTGGATAATCCATTTGGGGATTTTATGGGCTCCATGGCAACCACAAGGCCTTTTGGTGCACTGGTGGTCACAAACACAGGACAGGCAAATCTCTTGATTTCATCTCAAACACTCTTGATCTGGAATTCACTCCATTGTGTGAGACGGGTGATTTGATGACAGGTGGTGTTGAAATCACATGATTATATAAGAACATTTGCTGGTATAAAGTTTTATTTTAGCATTAGTGTTCTGCCAGAAATTAAGGAAATCAACCTCAGAAACTCTTGCAGAAATGCAGCCCATCTTAGAACCTTTTCACTATTGACCAACATAGCTTATTAAAAATAGCCACAGGTATTGGTCAAATGGGCTCAAACAATGGATAATGCATCATATGCAACTGTAGAACCTCCTTGGAGTTCTTGAAAAATGTTGCCAGAAACCCCTGGTAGAATCCCTTTCTGCATAAGACTGAAATACCAGTGATGGCATAATTGCAGTATCTCTTGGAAAAGAAAAGGGGCTACAATATGGCTTCAAGGCTGATTTCTTCATCTTTCTATAAGAGCACCGTGGAGACAAATAAAATACTATTTTGTCCCCAGAGCTATTTAATATCTGCATGAGGCTACAGATGCAGTCACTAAGTAATTTAAACTAATGAGATCAATATGCCATTGTGGGTCTGAAAAAACTTAACAGAACAGAGAAGAACCTGAAATGTCAAAATTTGGATATAAAAGTCTAAATAATAAGGACAAGCTATAGTTAAAAAAGCTGGGTTGCAACAATTAGAAAAGATAGTAGCAATTTATTTTAAAGGGCAGCATAAGTAGATTAGTGAATCACATAGTCTCTAATTAAGCCAATCATTAAAGCAAACAAGAACAGCATTCAAAAATAGAAAGGAAGTAAACTCCAATATAGAGAGTTAAATGCA